TCTCTCTCTCTCTCTCTCTCTCTCTCTCTCTCTTTCTCAGCACACACAGACGAGCACATGGACGTAAAATACACACTACGTTATATCATCATATCACATATTTCAACCAAATAACCCGAGAGTCGTCGGTCTGAGTTCGAGTATGGGGAAGGACATTTCTCAACTGACCAGCAGAAGAAATGCCTCACCGTTAATACATTGTGTCTCACGTCAGTGGAACTGGGGGACTTCACAATAGACGGAGATTGACTGAAAGTGGAATAGAAAAGAATGGGGGTGTGAGGGGTTGGGGGATTGACTGAAAGGGAAATAGAAAAAGGTGGAGATGGGAGAGAGAGAGAGAGAGAGAGAGAGAGAAAGAGAGGAAAAACCGAGAGAAGAGAGGGAAAGAGATGGTAAAGAAGAGAAGAGAAGAGATAGGGAGACTAGAAATAGTAAGAAAGGAAGAGAGAAGGGAGGGGGAGAGAGAAAGAGAGAGAGAGAGAGAGAGAGAGTAAAAGAGATTGAAGGAGAGGACGCAGTGAAGATAAAAAAAGGAACACTTCGTACTGCGCAAAAGAAACCAGTATACGTCTAAACTAAATGGAACTAAAATATTTTTACAGGAATTGTTTACACAAAAGGAACGAACACTAACAACACATATTTTGAAGGCGTTTCCCGAAACGTATTATACCTTCACTCCTTGAGAGATGAGACAAGCAACAAAACCCTTAGCATTTACCCAGTATAAAGTGTTGATGTTATTTTCCTCGTAAGATTTAATTAAAGTTTATGGAGACAAAAAACAACGACAGCAAACAATCCCCCCCCCCCAAAAAAAAGACATGGAAAGTCTAAAGTCATAAAACTATTCAGCTTTTTACTATTTTCAGATTTAAATGGTTTCAATACGTTTCGGGAAAGCTCTTCCTTTGACGCTTACATTATTTGTTGACGTACACTCACACACATAATTATTTTACTATACAGTTTTCCAAAAGACTTAACTCTTGGTTTCTGCCATAGCAGCAGTCAGGCTTACTTATAGCGTTGTTATGTTATGTTGTGCGCTTCTGTGGGGGGTGAAATTTCCTCCAAAATCTCTCAGCGTTGTTTTTAAGAGATATTGTGTTTGTACAAAACGTATTTTATTCCTTTCTCTGTTCAACACTTATCCATGGCTCTGTACAGAATGTATCCTTGTCTCTGTACAGGGATAAGCGATAGATAGAGAATCACGAACGACACGTTGTGTGCCTAAAGGCCACTTTTTTTAGAGGTCCAGGTCTCATTGTCGTGGTTTTTGCCAAAGAGAATCGTGTCTGTGTGTTTGTGAAATCCTTTCTGAATGAACAACCCACTTGCTCTTTGCAGGAACATCCGTGGAGCTAATTCAAGCTAGAACTATATCCTTTCTGAATGAAGAACCCACTTGTTTTTAGCAAGAACATTCGTGAAACTAATTCAAACGGTAAACCAAGTCCATCGTAGTCTTGATAGAAAAAAACAACACCAACTAAACCAACAAAACCAAAAAAAAACTACGCACACACGCTTCAACAAGGAACTATGCAGCACATCAGTGTCAATGCATGGTTACTAAACAAAGTGGCCTTCTCCGATAATCCTTTTCAGGTTATTATTTTTCTTAAACGGAGGGGTACAGATCAACGTCCATTTCCTTCACAAAATCATTAAATAACCTCGATGTTTCCAATACAGTGCATCCTCGAATCTCGTCTATGCACCTCTCACACTGATTTCGTCCTGAACAATTACAGAAGCATTCTGAACTTTTCCAGATAGTTTCGTCAATATAGCAAACACTAAAACCGTAACTGCTCGGGAAAATCTGTGTGTGCAATAACCAGTCTCTGGACGTAATCAGGGTATTTTTGACAGGTGCCGTGGTTCTTTAGGATGGCGTGTCACTCACAGAATGTGGGTCACGTGAGGTCACATGAGGTCAACACTGGACATCCTCCTCCCCTAGCTCCTCCTCCTTATGCGCTATGGGGTCACAGGCCACGCGCAAGGGCGTGAACTCCATCTCAAAACTGTTGTCCCCGAAGGTCAAGGGGTCTAGGTGAGCTCCCGCCGCACGCAGCTCTGTGGTACTGGACGTCTGCGGAGAACCGTGCGACCTCGACCTCGACGAGGGCCGGAGGGGCGTGGTTTCGCCAGGCGACGAGTGGGCGGGGCTACAGTGACGGCAGGCGCCGAGCGGCGCGAATGCGTGCGTCTCGCCAGAGTCCCGAGAGAGGTTCAACAGTGGCATGGCGTTGACGCCCGCGTCGCCCGGCGCGCCCCCGGCGGCGTCGCCCATCACCATCTCTATAGAGCCGCCGTGCGCGGAGGTGGCGGCATCCTCACGCCGTGCCTGCGACATAAGGTAGGCGATCTGGGAGGCCGTGTAGCCCTCGCGGTCGCAGTACATGAAGCGGGAGAGCAGATTGATGTTGCGGTCGAAGAAGATAAGGATGATTGGCTCCACGAGGGCTTGAGTCCACGCGATGAAACAGAACGCTTGGTACACCTAATGGAAAAAGGGGGAGAGGGTTGGGAGGGGGACATGACTGTAACGTTTTCAAAAGTTAAACGATCCTCAGGTAACCTTACGGTTAAGTTGTCAAAAGTTTAGACGTGTCTGTGAGGACTTTATAATAAAGTTTGAACAAGTTAAAAACATTAGCTTCTGCTGGAAAGTTTGAGAACGTTGTGATGTAAGTTAGAGTTGATCTTACAACAACTGATGGACGAAGGAGTGTGTGTTCACTGTTTGACACAAGCTTACACACGTACGTGCACACTAACACACATGCATGATAATGTGCGTATGCATATATTCATAATATTTTAATAGGTGCTCTCGCCTCCCCTTTCCCCGCCCTCCCTCATTCTCTCTCTCTCTCTCTCTC